CAAGGAGCGGGTGATAACCTCCCGTCCTCAGGCTTTCTACTCTTGTCACTTTAATTTTCACTTTTAAATTTAGACGAAATGATTTAGCTCTTGGTCAGGAGGAGCCTGTCTAGCAAAAGTTTCTCTTCAAAAGATTCATTTCACTGCATTTTTGTCTCTAATTCTGTTATAATTTGGTTGTAATTTCTTCTCGTCAGCATCAATGAGCTGATTTCCTGATGCCTTCTCTCCCCCTCCCCCATCCTTTCCTTATGTATTTCTGCTCCTCAGAGTTTAGCTGGTGGCCATTGGTGAGCTCCTAGGCCCTCTTCCTCTCCCCTCCCAAAGTAAAAATTTATGTTTTTACCTTTTAGAGCCTACAGTTGAACCGTAATAAAGCTTACCAGGCAGATGGGGGGTGGATTAAAAGGCTTATAGGCTGTAGAAGGATGACCCGCAGAGATGCAGGCCTTGGAAAGCAGTGTGACAGGTAAAGGTGGCTGCTTTGTGTGTATGTGTGCAAGTGAGTGTGAATGTGTACACACTTAATGTGTGAGTGTATAGTGTGAATCCATGAGTTAGTTCAAGAATGGATGTGGGTATATGAGTGTGACATGTCTGAGCACGAGTGCAAGTATCCGTGTGGGTGCACGTGTACAGGTGTAAGTGCACATGTGTGTCTGGGTATCAGTATGAGTGTATGTGTAGGCAGGTGTATGTGTCTATGAGTGTGTATGTGCACTTGTGTGTTCTTTCTAGAGCAGTGAGGTTTGTCTGAAAGATAATAGGCACTGGCTGGTCCTCGGCCCTTCCTCAGGCCTGCCATTTGCCAGCTTTGAATCGGGCAAGTGTGCCACCAAGAAGCTGGCCTGATGGGAATTAAGATGACCTTTTTCATGGATTTGTTTGATTTTTCCCCTTATTCTCTCCTTTCTCCAGCACATTCTTTGGTTTGTTAACATAGCAATAACATAAATATGCTCTCTGTGTACACAATTAAGTTTGCCTACACATCCGTCAAGTTGCACGCCAAAGCTCAACACTAAAAAGAACACACTAGAAATTAGGTTTGTCTCATTTCTTTGGAAGAAAGACCTTTAAGAATGTTTCAGGATTTTATCTAGCAATTTCACTTGGCTTGATGAAGCCTAATACAGAAATATGGTTCATTTTTCTATTTAGAGTGAAAGCTCTGACTTTCAGATATAGCCGCAAGCTCCAAACAGCAGTGCCTGACAGAGCCATGACCCTGCAGGAAACCGAATGTAATTTCTTTCGTCCCAGGGGATGTGACCAACAGAAATTGCCCTTCTTAGTGCCGTATGGACAGCTATTACCTGTATATGACACAAGCTAACTTGACTTTCAAAGGCTATCCTGAAAGAACACTGTTTAGTCTGTTGCAATTTTTAATCATTCTCCCGATTTTTAATCAGATAGTCTCCCATCGCCCCCTCCAAATATGATAGTTTTTATTTTTCTTTAGAAAAGGAGTAAATTCTTGATGACTTTCCTTAGTGCACATGATTCAGACCTGTGCATTTGCATTTAAACTATTTTAGATAGTAGTGGAAATGTTTTTTTTTTTTTCATTTGAGGCAGGAAGTTAGAATTAAGATGTCAGTTGAAATAAGTAATGTGAAAAAATCATTAATGTCCCCATATCCTGCATAATGTGACATCAATTGGTTATTCTGCCATCCTTATTGGAAAAAACAATAGCAGCATTCAGTTCATGTCTTTGTACCAGCTTCTTAGTAATGTCCTTTTCAAATTCATGGTTGGTTGTTTGCATAGGATGCATCTGGGAGGCTGGCTCTAGGTTCCCAGTAGATGAGCTGTGAGAAGCTGTAGGGAGAAAGGTGTTAAGCCCTTTCTCCCTTTCAACCACCAGCATATGCCTTCTCCTTGAAGCCTACTCGGGTTGACCCCTTCCTGTTCTGCCTTCCCCTGTGTACAGGTGGCATGCTCATTAGTGGGGGTTGCCATAGCTCTGTGGGGTGGGGGACACAACATGGTGTGGTTGGAGCCCAGTTTCCTTTCCTACATTTGGGAGGATTGTAGCTGTTAATGCCCAGTCTTGCCAGGAGCAGCGTCTGCACAGCTACAGTCACAGTGACGAGACGTGTAGGTCGGGTTGAAACATTTACTGCTAAAGAGAGGCAGGGTTAGCACTTGATTTGACCATTGGCAGCTCAGAGATGACCCCAATTCTTTCATTGAAGATTGGTTTTTGCCAAAAAAAGAGAGGGAGGTAATTTCAAATAGGAACACCTGAAAATAGAAATTTAAAAAAGATTTTTGGTTTATTTGTAAGGCTAACTGCTGTAACAGATCTTGAGCTTAGCGGCCTAATGAAACTTATTCAGATAGCAGCTGATGTGGGTGCTCCTGAGCCGGCGACTCCAGGGAGTGATTGGGGGACCCAGGCTCCCTCCCTCTTGCGTCTTTGCCAAACCCATTATGGGGTTTCCAAGCTGCCCTTCAGGTTGTCTCCATTCCAACATGTGTGATAAGGCTAACTGCTGTAACAGATCTTGAGCTTAGCGGCCTAATGAAACTTATTCAGATAGCAGCTGATGTGGGTGCTCCTGAGCCGGCGACTCCAGGGAGTGATTCGGGGACCCAGGCTCCCTCCCTCTTGCGTCTTTGCTAAACCCATTATGGGGTTTCCAAGCTGCCCTTCAGGTTGTCTCCATTCCAACATGTATGAAAGTGTGTGTGTGTGTGCAAGTGTGTATGAGAGAGTGTGTGCATGCACACAAGAGACACAGACTGAGTGTGTGTATGGGCCAGGCCTGCATTACTTCTCACACTCTGTTGGCCATAGCTCGATTGAATGGCCACATGCTAACTACAAGGAAAGCCAGAAATATATTCTGGCGGTGTCTCCTGGAAGACGAGGACAGATTTGGTGATGAACTGTTAGATTACGCCAGTGCTTCTCAAACCTGAGCTGCATCGGAACCACCTAGAAGCTTGGTGGAGCGCAGCTTCCTGGGTCTCTCTGTAGGAATTTCTGATTTCCAGGCCTTGGGTGGGGCCCCATAATTTACATTTCAAACAGGCTCCCAGGTGGTGTTGATACTACTGGGCTATGGACCATATTTTGAATAGATCTTGTCTGTGTATGACTCATTTTTTTTCGTTGTGATTTATCCATGCTAATGGTAAAAGCCAGAATTATTATATCTATATTATAGTGACTTGAGATAGGATGAAGGAGAAGGTAAAATGGGTAGCCTTGCCAGGCCATTTGGAATGTTAAAAATAGGTAAAAGTAGAAGATGTCGTAGAGGATTTGGAGGATGGAGACCTGGGCAGTCAGGTGCTAATGAGATGGCCGCACTTTGCTCTGTGGGACTGGGATGGCAGGGTCTTTTGGTACCAGGAAAGGGGCTTTTGTCTCGTAGTTCTGTGTGGTGGGACGGTTTGGAGAAGGTACCTAAGTAAATACAGGAGAGGAGGAAGGAAGTTTCCTTCTCCAAACAATGGAGAGTCTGTGGGGGAAACTAATTGTTGAATCAGACAATTCTGCAAATGTAGACTGCCACTGGGGCCGGAGCCGGGGCTGGGGCAGGGGCCAGGAAGGGCGATTGCACGGTGCCGTGAGAGCTTGTGAGAGGAGCGTTGGACTTGGTCAGGAGAAACTTTCTCAACTTGGCGGTACCTGAGTTGTTCCTGAAGGCTGTGAAGTTAGCAAGGCGAGAAGGGGAAGGAACCATCTTCTAGGCTTTGGTGGGGTGGGCGGGATGGCATTCTGGGCAGGTATTTCTCCCACAATTGTGAAGGACTTGGTCTTTTTTCCCCCTCAGCTGCATTGGGGTTGCCTCATGACTGGTGTGTAGCTTGTGTGTGCCAGGTGTGTTGGACAACATCTGAACTGTCTAATGAGGAATCTACTGGTCATGCAGTTGGATTTCGAAGCAAAGCCAGATGACAGGAAGAGTTTCAGTAAGCTGTCGTGGACCGGTAATAATTTGGAACCACCGATATTCATGGACCGCACTTGGATAACTACTCCAAGCAGGGGAGACCGCACGAGCAAAGGTCCTGTGGTGGGAAGTAACTTGGTGACTAGGAGCGGGCAGAGAAAAGGCCAGTGTGGGGTGGAACAGAAAGCGAGAAGGCAGAGAAGCCAGCGGGGGCTGTACTGGGCTTCTGAGCTCACAGGAAGAATTTGAGTCTCAGGTGATGAAGCCATTTTTCTGTTCTGGTTGAGAGGGGAAGTTGTCCTACTTCTTTAGTGATAGATTTGAGACTATAAACAGGCCAGGTATTTGGCTACAAAGATTTGTTTGAGCAGTTTAGGCGGCTTGCAGTTCCCTTTGTTACCCTGGGTATGGAGTCCGATGGCATTGCAGCCTCTTAGAGTAAGGGGAATCCTTGCCTCTTCGTATAAAACAAACATATATATATTTATATTTATATATATATATATATAAATATAAATACAAATATATAAATATAAATACAAATATATATATATATATAAATAAAAGGGCCTGCTGGTGTGTGCCCAGATGGCTACATGAGCATCTCCAGTTCCCTGACAGGTGACTGCAGGAGCTCGGGCTCCTCACAGCACGCATACTGTTGGCAGGAAGCTCAAGGCCCAACTCACTGCTCCTTGCGTGTGAAATGGCCTCTCTCAGAGGCTTAGCGAGTTCCAGCTGTTCCTGTGAAGTCATATGGAGCATGTTAAGTCTGTGGCCTCGTACATCTGCTGTGCTTTGGCTGTTCTGAGGTTTACTGTGTTATCTGTGGGCACCAGGCAAAGTGGTGGGCATTGCACCAAATCCTGAGTGGACCTGGCCTTTGTCTGCGGTGCTCCATTCTGATTTAGGAATCGAATGCTTTCTCCTAGCTCAGGGGCTGACTTCTGAGGGAGCCTGAGGGGTCATTGGGATTCCAGCTTCCTGGATTTGGAGCCTTGCTGTCCATTTAAGGATTACTTTCCTTCTTTGCTATGAAGAATGGGCTGGGGGAGAAAAGTGATGCACTGTGGTTTCTCTGCACAGGTACTTTGTGCTGGATTTTGAGGCTGGCATCCTGCAGTATTTTGTGAATGAGCAAAGCAAGCACCAGAAGCCTCGAGGAGCCCTGTCCTTATCTGGAGCCATAGTGTCCCTGAGCGACGAAGCTCCCCACATGCTGGTCGTGTACTCTGCTAACGGAGAGATGTATAAACTGAGAGGTACATTCTTCTCTTGTAACTTTTCAGGCAGGCCTTGTGGGCTGCATTCATGTTACCATGGTGATGGCTCTCTTGTGCTTTGATTTTTTTTTTTTTAATCACCTTTAACAACGTGCTGTGTTTGAGGATTCTGTAGTGACAGACAGACTTTGCCTCTGTTACCCCTGGGGTGGAGAGGTGGCCTGACATATTGGGAATTGCTTGTCTGAATTAACTGAGGAATTAAGGACAAAGGAAAGGTGAGTGATTGCAAAGCCAGCTGAGCCCAAGGACTTTGGCAGATTTTTCATTTTAGCTTAGTATATATTTTCTTTGACCTTGTATGAGTCTCCACTATAGTGCCCTGTGGATACTTTGTGCTGTAAGAACAAAACAGCCTTTGAAGGGTCATCATGTCTTCCCCACAAAGTTTCCCTAGAACCATCTCTTAGCAAAGAGCTCCTTCACTTATATTTTACTTAATCTGTTGTAGTGAGCATGGTGAGAAGCCAGCTGGTATTGAGTTAATTTCCTCTTTGCTTTCTCCCCTTCACTTTGCTTCTTGAAAACTGATGTCAGCCCAGCATCCTCGGCTGAATGAGCATGACTCTCAAGAGAACCCAGCATTTGGCCATAACTGTGGGTCTTGCACCCCCCAAGGCACATGGACACCTTTTTTTGCCAGATTTGACTATAGCAGTGTAACTGGATTGCTATTCACTCTTCCTGCATTCTGTTACAGTTGTGTTGCCAGAAAAATGGTTAGTTTTCTAATGAAATAAAACAAAACCCAAATGTGCACATGCGCGTGCGCGCGCGCACACACACACACACACGCATATACACACAGTCAACGTTATTTATTAAAGTCTGGGGAAAGAGAGTATGTATTAAGTGTTAGGAGGTGGTTGATAATTCTGCTTTCTTATGACATTTTTCTTTGCCCAAGTAAAGGCTAAGCACAAAGAAAGTCCCCCTTATTATTTCTCCTTGACTCCAGGGAACTGACCAGGATAGGTCACCTCTGCAAAGCCAGACCGAAGACCTAAGATTCTTCACCTCTCAGTCCAGTTTTCACTGTTCTACCTCTAAGCGACCAAGAGATGGAATAAGCTAATATTTCTTTATTATCTATATAAAAATCATATTTCAAAATCTATAAAACAATCTGAAAGTCTATGAAATAAAAATGTCTATAGTTGAAGTAAGTTTTTCAGTTTTGGGGAAATGAGCTAAGATTCATGTTCTTTTTTGAGATTCATGCAGTGTGCGTTCCGGCTGGCTAGATTTATATGGTCCTTGGTTTTGCTTTGCTGTTTATTGCTTAATAAATTGTTAGAGCAGAAACAATAGCAGGTGAAAGACTTAACAGCCACTCCTCCTGTCCCCACCTCCACCTAAAATGACACATACAAAAGAGAAAAACCCAACACATTTGACAATCGAGCCATCTCATTCTGCCTTTGAGTTGTTATTGTTCTCTGCATTATTAAACCTCAGGTTTTCTTTGAAAGGGTAATTTTAATGGCAAATATAAAAGTTTTATCATCTGCATGAAATTATCACGAGGGCTAAATTAACTTAAACTTGGCAACTATCGAAAAGGCAGGCTAAATTTCTGCATATTTTGACTGGTTCGTAGCCCATTCCCCCACGATCTGGGTGTATTTTTCTCATTTCACATCTCACCCACAGAGTTGAATCTTGATGTCATCAAAGGCACAGCTTTTGAGAATGTTTCTGGTGCTGAGTTCAGGGTCAGTACTGCCATAAACTGGCAATTCAGGTTTCCTAAGGAACAAAGGCTCTCATTTTTTGCAAAATCCTTTGTCTTAAGTTCACCCCTGGTTTTACACTGGTCTGCAACTCTAGATTTCTTCACCTGAAAGTCCAAGCTGAAGTTGGTGTTTTATTGACTGGTGACATTTAGGCCTACTTTTGTAAACAATTATAATTTCTAGGGGAATGTTCTCTTTTCTGTATAGTCAACATTTGCACAGTTAATAAAATATTTATGATTAAAATACTAAAACAATATTAATATAATATATAATTATATATTACTATTAAAACATTTATAATAAATAATTGTGCACTTAAAGATTTAAATTTTATTAAGACCTGTTATATATCTGTAATATTTTAATGAAATAATTTTATATTTGAGATGGGGATGTGGATGGAAGGTTATGGCTATGCAGTTGGCTTGTACTTTAATGTCTCTTTGGGGAAAATTTGAAGATCTCTAAGGCAGCATTTGGTATCTTGTTTTGCCCAACCCTGATAAGAATCCTTGAGAACACATATTAAAATGGTAATTCAACTGAACGCTTATTTTATAAATGCTAATAGCTCCACAGTACAACTCTGGTAGATAACAAAAAGGCCCCGAAAAGCTATACTTTGATCCTCATATTAGCCACATGTGGTAGAGGCATTCAAAAATAATCATGTTTTCCCTTCCTTGCTGCCTTTTCGAATAAGTAGAAATGACTTTTTCAGATGAGGTTAAAAAAATGGCAAAATTGTTCTTATAACGGACATTTCAGAATACGTTTTTAATGTGGCTTAGGGAATTTTCTGTCGAGATTTAGTGTAATTTGCTTTTTTGGCTTAAGTACAGATTGCTCGAGAATCTTGATCTGCATTTATTTTTCCTTCTCCTACCCCTCACTCCCCCGGTCCCCCACCCACTTAGGTGGGTGTAGAAATAAGTTGGCTATGTTTTGGAACAATCTCCGTAAGCGTTTCTTTCTCTATTTTAGCTGCTGATGCAAAAGAGAAACAGTTTTGGGTGACTCAGCTTCGAGCTTGTGCCAAATACCACATGGAAACGAATTCTAAGGTAGGTAACCATGGGAAGCAAGGAGGCATTCGATAGCTTGGACGGCTGCTCTTCAGCCCAATTATCTGTTTCTTTGGGGAAGCTGTTTTTCATGTTATTTTTTAAAAATTATCCACCGTAATGGAATTCATACGTGTCCTGCTACATTTACGTTTAGAGCCAAGAAAAAAGTGGTAGGATTCACTTGCGGGTAGAATGAGGAGGCATGCAGGCACTTTATTGGAAGTGATTCTGGAAAGAGACACTTGTGTTGCTCTCTGTGTTGTCAGTTTAGGCAGCTGTTAATTGGTCTGTTGAGAAACTTGCGTGGATGATTTCACTGTGGAGGCAGAGCAGTCAGATTTACTGCTTCTAGAGACTCGTTGTCACAGATCCTTAAAACCTAGACCCCAAATTGATTAAGTACTTCTACATTAAGGAGCTTCTGTATTCTAAGTGCATAAAAATGTCCTTGGATAATTTGGCACCCAAGTATGAATTATTTTCTCCTCAGGATTCAGTATGAGATCTTGGATCAGATGTGCAGAAGATAGGAGGCTGGCATTTTCATGGATTATTCAGAGGATTTTCAGTTATTAAAATACAGGAAATAAGTGAAAAATGCATTTATTCAGAACAATAAATATTCATTTTAATGTTCAAAGGCCTATCTCTTTTATATCCTAAGTTCAAATTTAGTTACTGTATCTAATTGCAGTCTTTTTCCATATTCCATGGACCAGCTAGAAAGACCCACACTTGAATTTCTGCTGATCTCATTTGCTATAACCTGCCTGCCATCTTGCTCAGGGCCCTGGGAAATGTTTTGCTTAGTGCGACCTTCCTGTTTCACTTCCAAATGGACAACCTGACACGATTTCTTCTCAAGGATTTTGTTCATTTTCTTTTTCTAGAGATGCCTTCTTTTCCTTAACTTGCTTGCCACAGTTGCCCTCAGCCTAATGGCTCTCTCAACTTGCCCCGTGTACAGTCCGGGTAATCATAGCTAGGGCCCCACTGCGAAAGCTGTCTTCCCTCTGGCCTTCTCTATTTTCCAGGAATTATATAGCTCTGGACATTTCATTAGTATTTTATAAACATGTAGGCAGAACAGTTAAAAAAAATTTTAATATGCATCTTTTTACTTTTTCTAAAACAGAAGAGGATTAAATAAAAAGACCATGTCTCCATTATTGCCATCTATGGTCATTAGAGATAATTGCTCTTAACTGATCATGTATGTCATTGTAGTAAAGTTAGCATGTGTTAGTGTATATTTATATATATCTGTATCTATGTCTACATCTACTTTTTTTTTTTTACTTACATTGATTATGTTATGTATACTGTTCCCCTCCGACTTACAATATATTTTGGAGATTGTTCCCTATAAGACATATGGATCTACTGTACTCGTTGTAGGTTGGCCGAATGCTATTCTAAGGAATGGATGTCAGTGCTTTATTTAAGTACTCTGATACTCATTTAGGTTTTCGTCGTTGTTATATATAATGCTTTATTAGTCTTTGTACATGTATCTTTTTGTATCTCTAGGTGTGTGTGTATATATATGAATTTATACCAGTGGAATTGTTGGGTCACGAAGTGTGTACTTTCTAAATTTTCATAGACATTGCTAAATTGTCTTCTAAAAAAGGTGCCCCTCCTTTGTCCTTTGGTCAGTTTTGTGTGTGAGGGTGTTTTTCCCCCTCTTACTAATTGGGCCTCTTCCTAACACTCAGTTTTTGATAGTCTCACAGATTAAAAAAATGGATCCCGCGACTGGGGCTAAGTATGTTTTCAGATGTTTGTTGGCCACTGATATTTCTCTTCTGTGAACTGCCAATTTGTATTTTTTACCCATTTTTCTATTGAGTTTATCTTTTTCTGTGCAGTAGCCGTATGTGTATTAAGTATATTTGTCCTTTACCTGTCATTAGTAATGTATATATTTTCTCCTAGCAGGTCATTTGTATTTTGACTTCGAATATATATTTTTTACTATGCAGACTATTTAATTTTTCATGGTCAAATTTATTTTCAGTTTTGGCTTTTGGTTTTGCATCATGTATAGTGAAGGTCTTCTCTGCTCAAAACTATGAGAATATTCTTCCAGTAGTGAATTTATAGTTTAATCATCATGTTTAAATCATTGAATCGTCTGGAATTTATTTTGGGTCTAAGAATTCAGGTGGGAGGCAACCAACTTTAAGTATATTGGTGTTTTGATGAATTGGAGACTAGGAAAGATGAAGATATCCATCTTAACGATAGTAAGAAACAGGAGAATTGGAAGAAATAAGAGAATTTGAAGATGCCCTGATTTTATTTTCTGATACATTCTCTGGGTAGTTTCAAGAATATAATTACTCTATTAGATTAGAATCAAAATAAATTAATAATTTAGCTATTAGGGCCTATAGGATTTCTTTTTTGAGAACTGGAGGTGAGATTGCTACCACCACTCAGGTATAGCTCTTGCGATCAATTGGGGAATAATAATTTTTGAACTGTGAACAGACCTTATTATTCAGCAGAAACATTATGAAGTCCAGGGCTGCTTGGGCAGAAGTTAGCAGTGAAAATGAAATTAGGCTTACAGTGAATGTTAACTTGATTTCCAGTTAACTATAGGGTGGCTGCTTACTTGGCATCATAGTCGTTAGGGATGTATGCTAAGACTTCACTCGCTCTTCCTCATTCTCTCTCAGCAGGGCAGGTCCCTCCCCAGTAGACTGTAGAGAACTTTAAAGTCAAGCGTTCCCTGGTACAGATATTAGGTAGATGGAATGGTGCTATCAGTGAAGCTCACCTTAGTGAGAAGGGGAGGATAACCAGGTATATAGAACACTGGAGCTGCAGAGGACTTTAAAGGGGACCAGTCCGAAACCCAGACCTGGTGAAATCAGTCAGTTCCTGGATGAGGTTTTCACCAGTCCAGAAGTGGAATGAGAAAAACAAAGAGTGAACTGTTCCCAGAAGATACCTTTATTCTTTATAAAGGACTGGTCTTTATTCAGAAATGACATTGCTTTGCTTTTGGAGTGTTAAAATATTTTTATTGTAGAAGATGGTAGAGTATTGATTGATCGATTAATCGCCTTTCTTAGGTATATTGAGGTATAATTTCTTAGGTTTCTTGAGGTATAATTTACATAAAGTGAAATTCACCCTTTTTAAGTATAAAATTCATGCCTTTTAAGTGTTTATAAACTTTGAGTTTTGACAAATGTAGACAGTCATGTAACAATCACAATCATCATTCCACCATCCCCAAAAGCTCCCTCATTACCCTGTTGTGGTCTGTCCCCTCTCTTCTCCCTCAGCTCTTGGTAACTGCTGATCCATTTTCTGTTAATAGTTTTGCTTTTTCTAGAATGTTCTGTAAATGGAATTATACAGGCTTTTATATCAGACTTTTTTCACTTCCATAATGCTTCTGGATTTTATCCATGCCGTTGTGTGTACTAGTAGCCAATTCTTTTTATTTTTAGGTATTTTAGTGAATGTCATACTTTTTTTTGTTCTTAATACATGTTCTTACTTTAAAAAATCAGAAGTGATTTCCAATTTTCAGATTAAAATTATTAATTCCTAAATTTTCATATTAAAAAAACATTGGCCTTTGAAATCCAGCGGTCTGGCTGTCGGGTCCAGCCCCCTTTGGTTTACACACGAGGAAGATCCAACAAGGAGGGTTGTGCAGCTGAGACTTGAACTCAGATCTCCTGGTCTGCTCGTGCGTCCCAGCCGTCAGTAAGTGCTGCCATGTCCTTCCCTCCATGGGCGTTGGGATCCTTTTTAGGCTAGTTTGTTTTCGGATGGACAACAGAATCTTCCTTTTTTTAAATATCACGCAGGTTCATCCTGTGGCCTCCAGTGTCGTTTGAGGTGTAGTTGCAAGGATGTGAGGCTGGTCTGCTAGGAAGAGTAGAACACCGACTTTTTCTGAAAACACAAACAACAACAAAACAAAACATCCTATTTTTAATACCATATAAAAATTGAAGCAGTGTAGAGCCCTACATTGACTGGAAAAGTGTTAAGAGAGCTGTCCTCATGAGAATTTACTTGTGTGTGACTTTGAAAATCTCAAAAATGTAGGAGCGTGTTTCTTGCTTATCGAGTAGGTGGTGTTGGGAAACTTCTAGGATAGAGAATAGTGGTATTATGGGAACTGCAGTAAGCTCTGAGGTTGGGAAAGGAACTGGCCTGTTGACAGAAGTAATGATAATTGATACATCATATATGAATGAACGTCACTCATGATTGCATTATTTTTCACAGCGGTTCTGTGAGGTAGGTAGCATTATCTCCATTTTTGCAAATTAGAAAAGAGGCCAGTTAAACTTAAATGGTCTCAGAGTCACATGGCAGTTAGTGACTGGACTGGGACAAGAGACCAAGTTGCTAAACATGCCTCCCACCATCATCTTCCATCCTAGTTTGGATGGAGCTGATTGGAAGGTTGATGATGCTACTGTCCCCCTATGAACTCCATATTTTATAACACAGTGGGGACAGCTCTGTAACAAGATACCTATACCTTTTATGTAATCAGGGGACCCCTTCTCCAATCTTTTAAATAGCTTGATTACAAAATTTTCTTTAGTGAATTTTCTTGAAAGTAATGTTAGCCTTTTCTACTTGTGTGTGTGTGTGTGTGTGCGTGCGTGCATGTGTGTGATGTAAGCTTACCAAAGATGAGCATTTTGGGCAGGTCCCCATGAATTTTGAATTAAAAGCATCTTCTGATTCAGTGACTCGTATACTATATGGGTAGTTCACTAATCTGCTCTGAGGCTAGTTGGACATTAATACCTTCTCCCCTGACTTTCATCTCTAAAGGATAAATTTGTGACATGTGGTAGATGTAGAGGCTTTCAACCATTACATACCCAGTCTCACCAGATGGAGTGTGGTGGTTCAAACTATTGACAGAGCTCAGGACTTCCCTTTTTGGTTCAGCTGGCTTCTTTCTGATTGGCACCTCCATCCCCACCACAAACATATGCTTATTA